GACATTTGAAATTTATTAATAAATAATAATTTCAATTTTCAAATTTCAATCACTAGATAATAAATTTGAAAAAAAAATCTAAAAAAAATCTGCTATTTGAAACTGTAAATAATTATCATATTTATTCTGGATTCACTGATTTTGTAGAACGAAATTTAATATATGATTATTATAAAATAAAATAAATTTTAATTATATTATTGTATCTAATTAATATTAATATCTTATTAAATTTTAATTATGATAAAACATTTTAATATACTTTCATAACTCATTTTTTTTCAATTTATACTAATTTCATATTTACTCTGAATTTTTTAATTTTTTACGAGATGAAAATTTCACAAATTTCTTAAAATTAATAATATTTATTTATATAAAATATTTTATACGAAATTTTTGTAAAATTATTCATTTAATTTTTTATTTATAACTAATCCAAAATCTCTTAAATCAAAAAACAAAATATTTATTTTTTTGTTATTCTTAAAATATTTTTTTACTATTCTATTCTTTTTTTAAATTTTTTATTAATTTTTAAAGTCTTTTTTTGCCATTCAATTGAAATTAAATGTCAGTCGATTATCAATCGGTCATTTTCCACATTGCTTATTATTCTATTTTTTTTTTTTTTCTTACAAAGCATTTTTGATGCCACTCGATTATACATAAATGACAGCATGGAAAACGAGTATTATATCAATCGATAATCGATTGACATTCATTTTTAATCGGAAGACGAGAACTGAATAATGGAAAAAGGCTCTTACTCATTAAATGGGGGTTATTCATGTCCAGACATTTTTAAAAAGGTCAGGTTTTTTACTTTTATAATTTGCAATAATAATAATTCAAACAAATTATTTTTTGAAATTTTTTATTATATGATCTTAATTTAGAATATTTGAGAAATATTACATAAATTTTTCTAGATTTTTTCAAAGACTTTTATTATTTTTTATACTGAAAAATGTATTGGAATAATAACTCTCATTTATGGAGTAAGAGTTAAATATTTTCATAGCATAGTAAAATTTTAATATAGTTTTATAGTTGAAGAATTGATGTGTAATTTAATGGCATATTAATTGATCCCAATCATATTATCATTAAGCTTAATTGATTCAATTTTGATTCTGTTTTGTAATTTTATTAAAGATAATTTTTATAAAATTAACTTTTAAGGTGTCACGAAGGTTTTAAAATTTTTATTTTTTTGTTTTTCTTTAAAATGTATTTAGATATATTTTCAGACTTTTTATTTTTTGCTCTTATTATATTATCAGTCTTAATATTTCTTTCTTTTTTTCTATGTTATATTATTGATCGTTTTGTTTTAATATAAACGTCCAAAAGAATTAAATATTTTGATATAAAATGAAGATATTTATACATATTTACAACAGATATTTACAACATTGAAAAATTGCTATTAATTGATAATTAATGTTTAAAAAAAGAGTGTTTATTATAAATTTGTATGAAATGTAAAATGAATTCTACTATAATATAGAAAACACATTGGCAAAATTTTTAATACTCGATAATGATACTAAAGATTAATAACTTCAAAGAAAAAGAGAACAAATATGGAAGAAAGGTGTATCAAAATTCTTATTATGTTTTATTCTTTATCGTTCTTTTATTTTATTAATTAATATTTTATTAATTAATAAAAAATTAATAAATAATTAATAAAAAAAACTTATTTTTATATCCAATGAATTTATACATGTCTGCATGAAAAACAATGATTTTTATGCAATTTTTCAATTATTAAAAAATTAATTGTTGATTTATTTTTTTGATATGATTATTATTAATATTATTTATTTTTTAAAGCAAATGAAAATTATGTTATGTTAATTATATTAAATTTTTTATTCATTGAATAATGAATTCTTCTTACATTTTTCTGTAAATTTTATAAAATCTAATATAAAATTTCTTTCGAGATATATTCAATTGATATTTTTATTTAATTGATTTTAAAAAGAAATTGTTATTTGTTGTTATTTTTCATATAGAATAATTGTTAAAATCTATCTACGATATATACTATCTATATATTTTTAGTTTAAAAAAATTCAAATAAGATATGTAAAAATTGAAAAAAAAGAAACAATCTATTTAAGAAATATTTATTAATTCATGTACATATATATGATAAATATCATATAAGATTTTTCAGAAGCCGATGAAACTTATGTGATGATTAAGCTTATATGAAGCTTAATTGATGATTTTTGAGGTAATTTGAAGTAATTTTTTTCTTCGCAAAAATTTTTGTTTTGGTTTTGATAACGAATTATTAACGAAAAATATTAATCAATCTCAAAACGCATAGATTTATCATAATAATAGATAGTATTGAATATATATCGAATTATGTATATTGAATTTGAACAAATAATTTAAATGATATGAATCAAGATTTGTTAATCGACACTATATATATTATAAAATCATTTTTATATATTTTACATATAAAGTATTTTTATTTTATTATTTATTATTATATATTATTTATTTTATTATAAAAATATTTCTTAAAGTATTTACATAATAAACAAACAATTTTGATAATTTTACAAATTTATTTTTTAATAATTCATTAATTTTTATATTTAATAAAATTCTCTGAAATTAAGTTTCTCCTATGGTAATTATTAATAATATTGCTATTTCAATATGTTTTTTTATACATATTTAAATATCAATTCAGTTTACAAAAATAACTTATTTTAATACTTATTTCATATGATCATATTAATTATTATATTATATTAAAAACATGATTCATATTAAATACTTTATTAAAATTTTAATATAATATTTTGATACATTTATTTAAAAAATAAAAATTATTTTAAAAATAAAAATAAAAAAATTATTCTAATTAACTTATAAAAAAAGAAGAAAAAATAAATGGCTATTTCGCATACTTAAATACTAAAAAATAAAATTTTAATACCTATTTTACACGATATTACATTAACTTATATTATCTTTAGCAAAATTTTAATATAGTTTTCCTATCCATTAGAATACATCCATTTGGAAAACTATTCTTACCAATCAAGAGAAAAAGTAACTTTTTTGAATGGCTATTTACAGTGGTGGTGCTGTTCGCGGAAAAAGCAACAACATTGCGAGTTCTGGAGGCAGCGAGGCGCGTTGATGTTGGCTCTCGATTCGTTTGGTTGTGCAGTGATGCATGGCCAGATCACAACGATATAAATTACCAGCAAACCATCGTGTTGGAAGGTGCTCTCGCTGTTCAACCATTCTATGCGCCCTTATCTGGCTTCGATGAATATTTCATGGGATTGACTCTTGATCATGAACAAAAGAATCCTTGGTTCCGCGAGTTTTGGCGAACATATCATAATTGCGTCTATGTAGAAGAGACGAAATATTTTTCTTCTAAGAAGGTGAGTCTTGGTTTTTCTTTTAAATTAAAAGAAAAAAGAAGATCATTTGATAGATTATTTTTATTTATTTAGGAGAAATTGAAGGAAGATGATATTAAATTATTTCAGAAAATTCTTTTTGTCTTTTTTCTATACATATAAATAAAACTTTTGATTTCGTCTTTGTAGAATAATGATCGAGCTAGATCATATTTACTATGTATTTTAATAATGTTTTTTATTATTTATAAAAATTTTATATGCTTTATATGTAAATTGTGTTAATTAAAATTTTTTAAATTTTATTTCTTTGGAACATTTACTATTCTCTTTTTTCAAAATGAGTTTGATTTAAGTACTTAAAAAGTCGAGATGGTTCCTAATATCGTTGAGAGAACACCAATTTTTTTAATAGAAAATCAAATTAAATAGTTAATAATCTTATCAATTTATAACTTTTTATTATTATTAATTAGTAAATTTTGGAAAAAGATTTAGAATATTCAATGAAAAAAATGAAGTATTTTCAAATAAACTAGACTGTATGTAGATTTTTCAAATTATTTACATTATTTTCTAAAATAAGTACAAACAAATAACGAAAAGAACTTTTAGGACAATTTAATATTAATAATATTCTGATATATATAAAATATAAAATATATTATATAATGTTATATGTTTATGTTATATAAAATATAACATAAAAAATAATATAATATCAATAATTTCGCAATATATAAGTTAAAATAAATATAATTTCTTTACTTTTTATACAGAATATTAACATATTCATGAGACATTTTTAGAGAATCTAAAAATAAACACAAAAATTAATACAAAAATTTCTTTGAGATTAAGGCTTATTTATTAAATTATTGAAATTTATGTATTAAATGAAATGAGACGGATTATATTATATGTATATTGAGATTATGATATGAATAGTTTCATTTTATCTAATACTTAAATTTTTATATTTTTTATATTCTCTAAAATTTTATATTTTATATTTTATATTTCTAAAATATATATATATTCTTAATTTTAAATTTCTTATATTTTTTAATAATATAAATCTCAACTTGATATTTTTGTATTTATTCTGATATTCAAAATCAATCTAGATTTTAAAAATGTCTCATAACAATACATTAACTCTCTATATAAATATATTATAATTACACCATTAATAAATATCATTAATAGTACTATTTAATAATATAATATGGATTAAAATTTTTGGTATTAAAAGATGGTATTAAAAGATAAATTAAAAGATAATATAATACAAAATAAGATAAAAATTGAAAATATAATTAAAAATTGAAAATAAAATTATATTGGAGAATTTTTAAAAGAATCAAATTATATATATTTATCAAATATATATAAACTTGGTAAATTTTGAAATATGATTAAGTAATTAGTGGAAAGTAGTAAACATATTTTATGATTCAATAATAATACAACAGAAAAATTGAATAATATACTCAGATAGAATTGAATAATTTCTAAAATATTTGATTTATTTTATATATTATATGTATTTGATTTTTTTAAAAATAAGATTATAAAAATATATTATAAAGAAAAAAATATTATTATATTTTTTATTTATTCTTGCACATAGTATAACTTCTTATTGATTACATATTTAATTGCATATTTAATTATAGATAGAATTAAGACATATATATTGATAATATATATATATTTAAAAGTTAATCAATATATATTATATATTGATTAACTTTTAAATATAAATTATATATTGATTAACTTTTAAATACTTCACGAAATCTTCAATACAATTTTGCTATTTTTACTCCTATTTTAAATTATTTTATCTCTTAGATTTCATTTATACTATTTTTATCTATACTAAATATAATATATAATATTATATATTATATATAATATATATATAATAAATATATAATATAAATAAATATAATTATACGTTAGAGAAAAATAAAAATATAAAAAATTGTATGATTATTCGATAAATTTTAACTTTTTTGTAACAAACAATTTTATAACAACAATTTTTGAAAAAATCAATTTTAAAAAAAATGATAATTTTTCAATTTCGAAAATTCATGTTTTTATGATTATTTATTAATTATTTTAATTTGATTGCTCTTAACATGAAATAATTCTATGAAATTATAAACGTTTCAATATTTTAAAATAATAATTATAGTTAAAAATATACCTGAAATGCATCCACTTTTGTTTTTCAATTTCCACTAATATTTTTCAATTTATTTCAAAAACTAAAAGGAAAAAGAAAAAAATCTAATCATACTATGCGATAGAACAAATCTTTTTATTAAGAAAAACATCAAGAAGAAACTTACAAGATCATTCTTGTTTTTAATATAGAAACGAAATAGTTTAGCAAAACATGTGGCAGTGGTGCTCAATGATGGTTGTTTTGTCGTAATTTCGATATGCTGTGCACAGAATTGGATAAATTTTAAATAAAAAGTATTGAAAATAATAATTGGAATGTATTTATTTAAATAAGATGATGTTTATTTTATTTCTTAATATTACATACAAAAATTTGAAAATACATATTTTTTATATATATAATGAAATTTTTATATACATATGAAATTATTAATTGAAATAATATATTTTATAAAATAAAAAATTATTTTATAAAATAAATATTATTTGATATATATACTTTTTTGAATATATGCAAGAATAATTATTTCAATTAATAATTCATAATCTTAAATTTAAAGAAAATTATTTTAAATATTTTTAAAGACTACTGCTAAAAGAAGGAAGTAAATCGGATATTATTATCTTCAATCAAAATATATGTTTAAGAAAATAGATATAAATATAGAAATAAGATATAAATAAAGAAATACAAATTGAAATAATTCATAATATCGTTTAATATCCGTTAAATATTTATTTTGTTAAATATTTATTTATTTGCCTTTGGTAATGTACATATTTCAAATAGAAAATCAGTTAGATAATATTATGGTTTTATAACTAGTCCTACAAAACAATAATTTTTTCATTGGCGTTGATGAGAAATATATAATTGAAATACGTATTTCATATATATATTTAAATAAATATTTTAAATAATATTTCTATTAATATATATAAAGTAAATAATTATTTCAAATTAACCAATGTAATATATTTTAGGAAAATATTATTTGATTATATTTCTATTTTATTTCAATTATTATTTTACCCAGTATTTATTATTAAAAATCATAAATAGTAAAAGAAAGAATTTTGTCCTTATTTTATTTCATCTTATACTTATATGTATTAAAATAAGGATTTAATTATTAATAGCAATCCTTAATTATTGTCCAATTTTGTAACGAATTATTTTATGACCAAACAAATTTAATATAATTCAATAACATTTTTTTAGATAATTTTTAATATAATTTAATTAAATTTTAATAGATAATTATGGAAGATTATATAGGATCATCATTATTATGATAAAATAACAAATTTATTATTTTAACACTTTCTAACTACAATTTATGTGAATAAATAATATCAATAATATCAAAATCAAATTAAAATATCAAATTTTTTGATTTTATTCTAATTTTGCATTTTTTTAAATAATAAAATATACTAGTATACAAAACTCTTTTTTATTCTTTTATTCATTTAAGCTATTAATTTTTTTTATTATTTTTTAAAACACAAATAAAATTAGAATTTCATGTTAATTTTTTATTGTATTATTTATTCAGTTATTATGCTAAAAATATAATAAAAAATCCAGTATATATTATAAATAATAAGAAGAAAAAATGATATTTTTCATCTTATTCTATTTATTATCTTAACCAATCTTTTCTATTTATTTAATTATTTAAAGATATAACCTTTGATGTTAAAATCAAGTACAAGAAATAAACACAGAAAATAAAAAAAAAGGAACAGAATTACATAAAATAGATATAAAGTATAATTGATATATTGCTTTTAGATAAATTTATTTAAATATTTATTAAAATTATTAGAATGAAAAATTTTCATAATATAAATAAGAATCAACATGAATGATTTTTTATCATTTTTTATCAATTTTTTATCATGATAGCAAATTGAGATTGAAAGTTGTAATGTTTTTTTTAACATGTTATCTCTAATTTTAATTTCTGAAACAGAATTTTTTTTCATTTTTTATTTAAATAAAAGAAAACAAAAAAAATAATTACTTTAAATAAAAATAATTACTTTAAATAAAGATAGAAATAAACAAACAAACAAAATACAAAAATACAATAATAAAATAAATGAATAAAATAAAATAAATAATTAAAATAATGATATAAATATTGTAATAATAAAGATCTTTCTGGAATCGTAATTATCTCTCATCATATTTGAAATTGTGCGTCATGTTAACCTTTTGCGCATGCGTTTCCTTTAATTTGTGACAGTACTGATTCAATTTGAATAGTTTAAATCAGTTGGAAACGAACTGCGATACTGACAAGTACGAAAGTAAAGAGAACCACTTTTTAGAAGTGAGATTTTTATCAAGATCGTTTGAGATCAATATTCGGATTTTTATGATTTATAGTGAGATTTAACTGCGAATTAGCTGTGAATGTGGATAAAATAATAAAAGAAAAAAAAAATCGTGATTTTGATGTTTTTAATCGAAACATTTTTCTCAATCGTATATTACATTAATATTGAGAACATAGTTGCAATGTTAATGTAATTAAAACATTGTGTGTTACCTTTTTATACAACGGAAAGCAATTTGTAATATTTTAATAATCGTTATGAAAAAGATTATGATTTTATAAATGATTTTGGTTAAAAGAAACGATTTGAAGACGATAGTTAACCTTTATGATCACCTCACGAGGACAGAAGAGTCTGGAATATTCGAGAAATTGAAACAAAAAAGAAGAAAATAAAAAACGTAAACAATTAGCGGTTGTTGAAAAGAGAGCTGTATTAAAGAAAAAGCCAGCTATATAAACAAATCGTAAACGGAACGAAAGGTAATGCGAAGGTAAAGATGATAATACCAACGGTACACAAATTCAAATAAAAGTCGATAAAGAAGAATCAAGAATCATAGGTAAGTTTATTTAAGTCAATTAATGGTGCAAATAAAAGAAAGCGCAGGAGATTCATACAATCACATTCACATCTACATAGTGTGAAATTATATATTACGCATGAATTAAGAAATTATATATTTAAAAACTATATTTAAATATTTAATTAAATTTTTAAATACCATAAGTAGATTATGGTATTTAAATATTATAGATGGATTTTATTATCTAATACATGGAAATTAATATTATTTGTTTAAAGTTAAATTTTTTTTTATTACATTATATTTTATTCATTTCGAAGATCAAAATGAATTATGTATTTGCAACTTAAAAATTCATCTTTTTAAAAAATAAAGGTCTAGAATTTAATTAAATATTTTTGCATGCCTGCAAAAATTTTTTTTACGTTTTATTAATAAATTATTATAAAAATTATTAATAAAAAAAAAATCAATCTAATTAATGTATATTCTAATAATGTATATCTTATTTATATAATATATATCAAGGATTTCCTCTAAATATTAATTTTGCCAAAATAATTAAATAAAATAATATTATTATAACTATAAGTATAATAAATAAATATAATAAAAATAATAAAAATAAATAAGTATAATAAAAATAATAATAAATTATTAATAATAAATAATAAAAATAATAAGTATAATAAATAATAAATACAAATATAATAAATATTATTTACATAATTTTTTGTTATTACG